TAAAAATGAGGGTCAGTTCTGTAATCCTTCCACAGTCCATGTACTCTTAATGAGGCAAGAACCCACACAATGGCCCATTGAGACGGCTGCTTTGGCACTGTAATTGGCAACAGCGGTGTTGTCTGCAGACGTACACATGTGAGTGTGTGAGATGGTGAAGTGTGGAACGAGGGTTTAGGGGTAGAAACAGAGGAGGAAGAGGACACATTGTTGAGAAGGCTTTGGTCTTTGTCCTAATCCTAATCCTGGCTAATTCCTGTTGCCCAGAACCATTAGAGGATAGAAAGGAGCTGCACAGCTGCCTCTTTACAAACCCCAAAAACCATCCACATGGAAATACATGCACACACACATATAAAAACATACACTATTACACACACGGCTGGGTTTCCATTCAAGACTTTTCGTACAAATTGAATCAGAAAGAAGCAGCAACTTATGACAGAGCTTCTCATAAATTACAAAACATTCATCCTCATCCTGATGAAGCAGACTGAGACAAATCAACCTCTTCAAAGAATTTTTTTTTTTTAAACTTGCTCTACAACATATTTCAGCTGAGGTTTTTTTTTTTTGAAGGGGTAAGAGACACAGTGAGAAACGGGACACGCGATGAAGAAAGCAGTTCATAATTCACACACAGATACGTGCTGCAGGTGGGTTTTGATATGAACGCCGTCCTGCTGACGTGCTGCAGGTGCGTTTTGGAGGGGAAGTGTGTGCGTGCAGGTGTGTGCGTCCTGTTGGCGGGTCACGGTGACGGTGCGCGGTAACAGCTGGAGAACAGGCTGGAAGACAGACACGCCTATACACATCCTCCTGGCTCCGATAGCTTCAGCTTGGACTTGAGCCATTAAGAAAGCCTTCGAAGTGTGTGTGTGTGTGTGTGTGTGTGTGTGTGTGCAAGTGTTTCTATGTATGTGTCAATCAGGCCTGTTTGAACAGCCAGCTGAACTTACTGTATCTTCCTCACCTTCCTCTGACAGGCAGGTGAGGATGTGGCACAAACAGCAACTGCAATTATGATTTCAAACAGCGGCACGTTTGACAAAAAGAAAAAAGAAAAATCCCGTGAAGCTAATTACGCAGAGCGGAGACGCTCCGTGCACACAGCAAACCTTTGTGCACACGCAGTGTTTCACAGTATTTTCTGATCTGTGTGTTTCTGCAGCGGTGTGTTTGGCTGACAGCGGGGGATCTCCCACAGCAGAGACACACAGAAACAAAGGTGCCCTTGTGTTGTTTAGCTCTGACCACATGATTTCACAGAAGATAACATTCCTCTGTTGTATCCACCGCATAGCTTGGTAATTACAGATACAGGAGAAACAGCCATTTGCATAATGTGCGCATGTGTGTGCATGTGTTTATAATGTTTTTTTGGGAGACTTTAATGCGTCTGTATGACTGGATGTTCAGCATGTTGCAAGAATATTGAAAAGATGCTGGCACAGATGATCCTGAAATAAACTGTGATTCAGCAGCCTGAGGAGCTGGTATTGCTCCCTTTAGCAGAGATAACTTTGCATTTTTGACCAATCTTCTCTGCAAAAGTCCTTGAGCTGCAAGATATTTGATATATTTGGTTTTCTTGCCTGTGTCAAATCCCCCCACAATATTTCAGTTGGCTTTTTTTCTTGACTAGTTCCTCCATTTACCCTCCATTTCTTTTTAAAACTATTCCTTGTAGGTCTTGCTTCTCTGCTCAGAATCATAACCCCGATGAAAGGCCCACTTCTGATTCAATTTGAACTTTCAAACCGATGGCTTCACATTTTCTTCAAGCACTCGTTTTAGACATGACGCAGAATTTACAGTTGAATCAATGACTTCAAGCTGCTCAGTCCCCGAGGCGGTGAAATAACCCCAAACCAGAACATTTCGCCATCATGCTTCACGGTCGGTTTGAGGTTCTTCTCCTGAAAAGCTGCCAAACATGTCTACTGTAACTGTGGCTAAACAACTCTATCTTTGCTTCATCTGTTGTTGTTTTTTGGCAGCTTATTCCTGGCATACCTTCCATGCAGGTCATATTTGTACCATCTCGTTCTGATTTTAGGACTTAGACAAAAACAGCTGCAGAGTTACCTGCAAGTTCTGAGAGGAAAGTTTGAGGTTCTTGGAGATTCTTTTTGCATTTAAAGTTCTAGGCCTGGGCTGAATTTTCTAGACAGGACAAAGTGGCAGGTGTTTGAAATCTGGACCACTTGTAGGTGATTGTCCTCGCAGGGGAATGATTTATGTCAGATAATTTGTCAGACTCACAGGTATCCACAGCCTTTTTCCTGAAGGTCTTAGAGCTCTTTAGATCTCTCCATGATGACACTTAAACAGCAAAGGAAACATTCGAGCCTCAATGTCAGAGGTTTAAACAAGAAAGTTCCCTCATGTCTCTCTCTAAGGAGGTTCGAATCAATGGTCTCCAAAGTAATGTGATAGATTTCAAAGTGTGATGAATGACGAAAATGACACGAAATGGGGATTTTCTGTCACCTTCATCTCTAGGATCAAATGTTTGTTTGTCCAAATGTGGCAACAAAAAAAAAAGAAATAACTTCCACGACTTACTACTTCCTACTTGCTTTTTTCACATGGCTGGATGTTTGTGTGTGTAATGTGTCCCAGCTTTGTGTCAATTCTGAGTTTACAGGCGAGACAAAACACAGAGCTCAACTAATGAACAGCTCTGCTCCAAATAAAACAGACGCTCTGTCGTCATACATGTCCTACTCTCCACAGCAGGACAGGAATTCAATGAAAGTAAATAACAACTTCCTTGGACTTGCGCCTGTCATTCAAATCACCCAGTGTGCTTTTGTTTGACACGTGATGTCATGGTTTACTTAAGGTAATAAACACAGAACTGAATAAAAGTTGTTATTATCTACTGATGATAGACACACAATGGCTGCACAAGTTCCAACCAGTTGATGAAACCCAGCATTTGTGGTTGAAGCTTCGACAGTCCTGCCACAGGAGGTGCAGAATGACAGATTTAAAATGTAGGATTCGGTGGTTGGTATCAGCAAGTAGCTATCAGAATCAGAAGACAAAACTCGGACTGGTGCATCCCTAAAATATATCAATACTTATATGTACTTGCATTCATTCTTGCCCTGAAGGAAACACTCAATAGTCAAATCCACTCAATCATCTAGGAATAGGAGAAAAAAATATATCTTGATTGTCTTCAGCTGGTGTCTGGCCTTTTGTTTGTCTAAATATTTACAGGGTTTGGACGTAATTTACTTTCTGCACTGAAGAGCCCATGAATTTATGACGAGCAGGAGGCCAGGAAAACGGCATTTTCATCATCAACTGGCTGAGTGATGCAGCAGTAAGAGGATGGACACAGCCAGGAGATTCTCTGTTAGCAAGACAAGCCAAGGGAGGGAAACAAAACCCAGGGACAGTTACTGCAACGCCAGAGGACATATTTCAATAAGCAGCATCCCAAGGTGACAGTAGGAATATAGTCCTGGTAACAGTCTAGAAACCACAAAACACTTGAACTCTGACTCGTGTTGTCTGCTGTGAAAAACTGGGATGTAGCCCAGACAGACGCATCATCAGGAAAACATTATCAAGGAAGATGTCAGACTTACAAGAACCAAGAGAACAGACTTTTACCCAACGTTGGAATTTTCTCAAATCACGACATTCAGGTGAAGCTAAATCCTGAAAATCCCCCAAACTGGACCCACGTGGTTCACACAGGACCAAGGAGGAGCAACAATGACTAACCAGAGTCTTCATTTCACAATGCTGATTTCACATATTTGGTTCAGGTCTGAAAAACCACACAACCACACTAACCTCACCTCCCAGGAGCCTGGCCGACTCATGTTACTGTACTTCATAAATCCTTAAGCGCTCTGGTGGAGGGCTATTGTGCAACCGCAGTGACACCACCACTGCCTCATATGACACATTCACACAGCCACAACGCAACACGGCATCAGTTAAACTCACAGTCTGCATCATTACCGCAGCAGGCATCGCAACTGCTGGATTGCCTCTCTCTGCTGCTGTATATTATAGTTTCCATCTATGTTGCAAAGTATGTGGTGCTAAGTGGTGGGTCAGAACAAAAACCGTCAGAGCTTCTGTGTGCAACAACCCAGAAGGACCTGAACTACATGTTTTCTTGGATAAGTGTCCTTGAAACTTGATATTAGTGCAGATCTTGACATACATTGATTTTTGACCAGAGGCGCTGACAGAGGATACTGAAAGCTATTCATTGAACTTCAGATTTCTAAATATATCCACATAATAGGTCAAGCCATAACACCAGAATATAACAATACACGACTGATAGAGCAGGAAAACTAGTGAGCAACAGAGACGTTGGTTACAGCCATTATAGCTGTAGCTAAGAGTGAAATAAATGGTTCATAGTGAGCTACAAATTGGACCCTTAACTAAATGTAATGTATGAACTATTGTTTTACTTGTAATAGCAATTTTTATAATTATTAATGGTAATCTAAAATGGTGAGATGGTCAAAGCTAGCTACAAAGTGATAAAGGCAGTTAGACTGGTAGAAACAAATGACAACAAATACTGGATACACGATTAAATCAGAGCGATAAAGGCAATAGATAAACAGATAACTACATTTGAATTGTTTAAATATTTAGCAAAAAGTAAGTGAGCTGATGCACTTTTAAAATAGTTAATGAATAAAAATTTAAAAAAATTAATGAGATAGCTAAAAAAAGAATGGTTGAACTTGTAAAATGGTTGAATTAGGTTTAAAAAAAAATTGTGTCAAATGGTTGAAACAGTCGTAGCTAAATGGTTGAAGCCAAACTAAACCAAACACCTGCAGTTCAGTTGTTCATCAGTGGTCTAGTTTAACATCAGCACATGTTCATGTAGGTGGATCGGGGTGAGCTGCCTCAATCAAGCGGCACTTTTGTCACGCATGCACGTTTGAAACCACTTAAGAACTGGATGAACTCCTTCTCCATCTCTATAAACATGCAGTACTCACGTTGGTCTTGCTGGAAACGGCGAAGGTGGCTCGACTGGAGAAGCGGGTGATGGAGGGGCTGGTGCCAGACGCTGGGCTCGTCACCATGGAAGAAACTCTGGAGCCAGCAGGAGGGCTGCTGGAGCTGGGGGAGGAGGAGAAGGTGGCCGGGGGGGATGCGGGGCTGGATGGACTGCTGAGGTTGTTGAAGGTCTGCGCTTGGCTCCCCAAGGTGGGGTTGTGGATGTGGAGAGGAGCCTGGCTGTGAGTATAGGCCTGACCCTTCCCGTAGATCACCTCCTTTATCTCCTGGTGGTTCTCCTGAATGTCCTTTAGGTGATTCTTGAGGTTCTGACTGTGGTTGTGGTTGTTGTTCAACAAGGTGCTCCTGTCACATGTGATGCCACTCAGCAGCTCCACCTGTCGGGTCAGAGCCTCCAGCTGACTCTTGAGCTGCCGGTTCTCCTGCTGCAGCTGAGCCACAGCTCGTCCGAGGGGCCCGCTCAGGTTGGCAGTCTCCTCCAGGCGACGCTCCATGCCCAGCTTGAACGTGCTGACATCCACGTGGATCTCCCTGATGGCATCCTGGAGAGTGTTCTCGTAACGGGCTAGAGCTGCACACACTGTCTCCCCCTCAGGGGAGGAAGATCGGGGGTGACACAAGTCTCCCATCTCGGCCAGGGTTGGAGCTTCCATCGGAGTTGCCGCTGGCGACCCTCTGGGCCAGACAGTCTGTGAGTTAACGTCTGTGAGTGAGATCTGCAGGCCACTGGAGAATGTGTTGCTTCAGTCGGTGTGCTGAGGGTTTGGTCGGAGGGGGTGGGGACTGATGGACCGGGGTTGGGAGGTGAAAGTCTGCAGGGGAGGGGGGCAAAGGTCTGGTCTGTGTTATCTCCACTCCTTCAGCTCCGTCCTGAGATAAACTGTCCTGTGCTGCGTCTTCTTCAGTTAACTCTGCTGTTTCAGGTACCGATGTCTCCCTCTGACTTCTATCTGCAATTAAAAGGGGTTGAAGCTGTCAAACTGTCAAAGATCAATAACATTCCAGTTTGTAGGTGAAGACTATTAAAAGCAATCAGAGATATGAACACTCAAACCGAAAGCATGCACGACATTAATTCATTCAGAAAGTACAAAAAAAATTCTAAAACATCGCACTGTTCAGGCTGACAAGAATAAGCAGATCTGTTTTGAAGGAGTGAGAATGGCAGAAGGAAAGCGTACATCTCTTTGAGCCAGCTACGTTTCATAACTGCTGTGAAACAATGAGGTCATCTTCTCAAACAGTTCCAACTAACCTACCTCAGCTGTGCTCCTCGGTTCAGCTCACCAGAGTTTCCTCAGCGCTGAACAGCTGTATGAGTGTGTGAGCTCTGCTCTGCGCTGCCGGCTCTCCGGTTTGTTTAAACTCTCAGGTTGATCACTCCTCTCTTGTGGCCCGGAGGAGGGAGGAGAGAGGGAGGGATAAGGGAGGAGGAGTGGTGGAGAACTAACATGGAAATAGTAGTAAGGGGAGGAGGGGAGGCAGGCCGGGCAGCTTTAATGTCCCAACACTGTGTAAACTGTCACACTGCTACCCTTCCTCGCTCCCTCCTTTATATCATAGATATGTCTCCCCTGCTTGGTCAGAGTAAATATAGGAAATAATAGAAGTAAAGGTAAAGAATACCTGCTGACTGTGTTATTGTTTCTTGGAGTTCATCATTCAAGTGTGTTATTACACATTTTATATCATGACCACTTCCAGAAAAACAAGAAAATGACAGAAACAGTATTTTTTAAAGCTGTACTGATGATTTTTATTTCTTCTTAACATTGTAAGAAGTGAAATGTGAACTGTGTCACTCACGGATTTCGTGCAGTTCCTCTTAGCCCTCACTGAAGCGTTAGTAGCATCATTTACCTGATTGTGTTTGGGTTTCATAGCACATGACTTTACCATCTTATCATCACAGCTCATTTGTTTAAACAAATGACAAAGTTCTATCTGCCCAGTGATAAAACAGACTGAACAAAACGGTATTACATACAACTTGTAACATGCAGACGCCTGGTCAGGACCTCTTGGTGTCACATTTTAACACACCTGGTTCCCTGCTTTCAGCAATTTTTTATCCTAGGGTTCTTTTGGCGACTGATAGTGTCCTATTTGGGATCAATATTTTTTTAAGATTATCTTTAGACGAACTTTTGGATTATTTTTAGACTTTGTTTTGCTTTAACTTCAGTTAAGTCTAAGCAACAAAACTACATGGTTTGGTATAAATTTAACCCTCTCCACATTTTTGAATGCAAACTAATCTCACCTCAGTTCTAATTCACTTCCACAGTTACCATTGTGACAAGTGCTGCATTAACTAATATACATTTTCTCCTAAAAAAGAGCAATAGTGACGACTCACGGCATATTTTTCTGACACTGACGGAGGACGTTGGACTACCCTGCACATGAAAATATGACGTATAGCTCACCTAGTTGAACAGGCAACACATAAACAGAGACTGTAGTTCTCTGATGCAACAGTCATGGGTTCGACTCCCACTCACGACCCTCTGCTGCAGGTCTCACCCCACTTTCCTGTCTATCTCTACTGCTCTAAAATAAAGGCAAAAAGCCCAAAACAATATATATAAAAAATAAAAAAAGTGACACAAAGGGGTCCTGATCAAGCGTCTGAATGTGAGATCAGGTTGTGGTGAACATCACATTCAGCTGCGACAGAGCCAGATGTTTTTGTAGGAGTTGGTGGAGACCAAAAATGGAGCTAAAAGGGGAGTCTTCTGTCAGGTGAACTCCAAAAGAACTCCACATCAATTCCAAATGAATGAATGTTACTGCTGCATGTGTAATTATGTGTCACATATTAATTATAATCACATTGTTTTTTAGTTTGTCCTGCTGCCCCTAAGTAGCATAAACTTCTATGTGTCGCCCCCCCCAACTCAGTTTTAGGATATTGTGTTTATTATGTCATTAGTAGTCTGATATGGTTTAATCTGCATTGAGCATTCCTTTAGAAAAGTAATGAGGCTGTTGAGGTGAACTAATACACGTTTTCCCTTTACACCTTGTTTTTAGTGGACAGGGCATATTTAGAGCTAAAGAGAGACCCTTGACATTTTTGTGTCCATAACTACATACAAGCATGATTATCACACAATTCCCACACAGGCTGTATCTTAATGCAGTCACCTTTTGTACATGATACCATGACTACTGATCATTGTCGGGGGGTTAGATTGAGTTTATCTTCTACTGCTTTAATAAATATTGTAGGATCTTTTTGTTTGTATGGTTTTTTTTTTTAGTCCTATTGTAGTTTTGTGCCTGATGGCAGGATGAGACGGACGGAGGACCACCACCCTCCCCCTGTAACTGGACTCCAGCAGAGCAAACATTCCACACCAGATACACCATTGTGTGTGTGTGTGTGTGTGTGTGTGTGTGTGCAACAGACAGACCAATACAAATACTTTGACACTCCACCCTCCTGCTTACTGTCAACAGTGTGCATGTGTGTGTGCGCGCGCTAAGAAGTGTGTGAGAGACAGTGGTGTGGCTGAGACGGTTAAGAGACGAGGAGGGGTCTTTTACTGGAAGATTGTCTCCCCATGTTTCCACCTCTTTGTCAGACAAACACACACACTCACCAACACCTCCCTGAGGGTTTTATGTGGGTCTGCTGGGGCCAGTTCAACACACAGGTCAGAGGTATCATCTGAGGTTCTTGAAAACAGACATGTACAGTCACTTTTCCAGTGTTGCCGCTAATGGTTAGATGATGCTTTTGGAAAACGTTTGTCTGAAAAGGCATTCTGTCTAAAAACCATTAAAAAGTCTTCACACAGCTTTCTCCATGATGTAGCCGATCAGAGTCATCTTTTAGCATTTTTTATCAAATTTGTTAGAGCAGCAGCCCGTAAATCAGTTACACATCAGTTAAGTCACTTTAAATCGGGGCGTCAAACGCTTAATTTTACGCACTCAGGTGGATTTTTTTTAACAGGTTTGTGCCTTTTGGTGGAAATATCTAAATATATATATATATATATATATATGTACATGTGAAGGAAAACCCAAAATTCAGGCACTGGGTGAGAATTCAAAATGTAACATAATGCCGTATGCCTCTCAGGAAGTCTGTATTTGTTTTTCAAAATCTATTCACCTGTAGATCAGCTTTTTTTTTAATGTGGGGAAGTAAACTAACAAGTAACCTGTACATGTGGCATCTTTCCACACCAATGATAAACTAATTCATTTAAACTAATTTATATAAAAGCTCATATTTCAGGGGCAAAGTTTCAGCTCATATCTAAAACTTTCTGCACATTCAGCTTTGGGAGGATTTTCTAGTGTTCATCTTAACCTGACTGAAAAGAGAATAAGAGCTGGTTAAGGCCTCTAAATACTTCTGGAGAACTAAAACCTCAGGATCCAAACTTTAAAACTATACACAAGCGATGCCAGTTAAAATCACAAGAAATCACATATTTGACATAAAGGATTTACCCTAATTATATTATGCTTGTGCTTTTGGAAGTGGATCAGTCTGTGTGTTAGCAGTGCAAAGTTGCAAAGTGTTGTTAAAAAGAGCTGTTAGGCAGAGAGGACACAATACTTCAGTCTGCTGACCAACACTACTTTAAGATTAGTTAGCAAACTAACAAATGATAAATTTAAAAGGCACATAGTGATTTATCACTGAAGACATAATCAGAAAAAAAGACTTTAATATGAGACCTCCTCCTTCTTCTTCCTTCTGGCTCCTTGGTGGTTTTCAACCTGCGCACACGACACCAGTTATTGCTCATGTTGTGAGGCCCGTATGGTTATTATGATAATCTTAGAGCTATTTCGGTGCCCTGTGCACACTGCATGATGTGAGCGGTGACAGCGGCGGCACTCCTGCTATGTTTAAGATTCATAAAGCTGCACTGCGCTTTAACAGTTCATAGAAAGTTATGGCATGCACATAGCAGCCGGAGCTTGTGTGGAGTGTTACGTCCATGTCAACACTGAATGTTGTGATTGAAGACTTGAAATGATAACAATTCTTAAAGCTGCAGCGATCAATATTCATGTCTCAACAATGTGAACTGTGCACGTAATGTGAAAGAGATTTAGGATAAACTCTGTAGTTCCTTCTGACTCGACTGAGAATTTATGAGTGTTGCAACTTCGCTGTCTAGTTTGAGTCTCACTGTAATATTTATACGAGTAATTTGTCAGTGCTGTGTGCAGACGCTTTTGTTAGCCCCATAAAAATCCAGAAACTTCATGATTCATCGTGCGACATCGTTATGTGAGCCATTAAATTATAAAATTTTATTGCAGCGAGAGGAAAGCGTGTCTCATTTTGCTCGGAGCACCTTGAAAGCCCCCGTAGCACCGCTGTCGGTTCCTGGACCCCACTTTGAAAAACCACTGCTTTCCAGTAACAGTGAGTCAGCAGGTAATGCGGTGTGATCCGCATGAATCAGAGTGGTATGAAATTTAAAAAAAATAACTCTTGCTGTAGCCACAACAACAGAGCTCTCACTTTCGATCCAACTTGAACTTTTTCACTGTTTTGACAATGACCGAACATGTTTGACTTCACTGAATCCGCCTCCCTCAGAGCAGAGCTGAGGTCCAGTGTGATTACTGAAGAGACGAGGTCACTCACTTAGATTTTTTCTCATCTGGACCTCACCCAGCCAAAAGTCTTTGTTGATATTGCAGAGACATTTGCAAACACGCCTCTTCCTCTGTTCAGGGAGGCTGCCTCAGCTGATTAAGTGTGGATTAGGTCATATAGCAGACTGGAAGACATTCGGGTTTTGTGATAGATGCACACTAATGGACCAACATATATCAGGGTTGTCAAGGGCCGAACATCTGCAAAAAGTAAAATGTAAAACCATGAAGAAAACCATTGTTGTTTCCTCACTGATGCCTTTGTGCTTTTTGAAAATGACTTCAGCACAAGTCTGAAGCCAAATGGGTTCTGAGGACCACAGGAGCAGTAAATCACCAGATCCTTGGTGTGAAGCCTTTTAAGTGATAAAACTTACACTCATGACCAGTTTTAAAAGCTGCATTGATCACTATATTTTTATGAATTTTATGAAGAGTAAATGTGAACGAGATTGCTTTAAATCTAACATGAAACTTGTGAACATCTCTCAGTGTTGCTTGTGTTGGTTTTATGGCATGTAAAATTAATCACCATTCTTATTCTCATTTTTTTTTAAATTTCTTTGCAGCAACAGCTACATTTTTACAGTGTCAAGAAACTCAGATAAACCCATTACACTCCGACTGTCCAACACCAACATAACAGACACACAAAAAGAGCAGGTGGATTTTAATGAGAGTGCCACATTTATCAGTGATTGACCACAGG